GCATACACTATAAATAAGTATGAGATCCTGTCTCAAAACAAAGACTCAACAGGATGGTCAGGCTTGGTGGAATGCACCTGTAATTCCAGAACGTGAGAGCTGGAAGCAGAAGCATCAGGGATGCAAGGTCATCCTCAGTTTAAGGCCAGCCTGGGCTACATGAGACCTGTCTTAAAAACAAGTTACTGAGCAGAAAAATACTGCTAGGTGGGACTGGGGAGATGGTTCAGCAGTTAAAAGCACTGCTTGCTCTTCCAGAGGTCCTCTGAGTTCAATTCCCAGCCACCACATGGTGGCTCACAACTATCTATCTGTTGCCCTCTTTTGGCATAAAGTTTCATATGCAGGCCAGGCGGTGGTGCACACCTTTAATCCCAGCACTCGGAGGCAAAGGCAGGCGGATCTCTGTGAGTTCAAGGCTGGGCTGGACCGACAGCCTCCAAAACAATATAGAGAAACCCTTCCTCATAAAAACCAAAAAAAAAGTTTCATATGCAGATAGGGCACTCGTATATAAATAAATAAACAAACAAATCTTTGAAAAATTGTTTAAAAAAGAATAAAAGAAAAAGTACTGCCAGGTAGTGGTGGCACATGCCTTTAATTCCACTTGGGAGGTAGAAGCAGGTGAATCTCTGAGTTTGAGGCCAGCCTGGTCTACAGCCAGGGCTACACAGAGAAACCCTGCCTCAAAGAAACCAAAAAAGGAATACAGAGAGAGAGAGAGAGAGGGAGGAGAGGAGAGAGAGGGGGGGGAGGAGAGAGAGAGAGGGAGGAGAGGAGAGAGAGAGAGAGAGGGGAGAGACAGAGAGGGGAGAGAAAGGGGGGAGAGAGAGGAGAGAGAGGAGGGGGAGGTATCTGAGTAAAAGAGCCTCACATCATGGAGACATAAGGAGATAAGAGAGCTCTCCACACCATTCTTCCAGAGGATAACCTGAGGTAAAAGTCAATGAACCAATCACTCCATGTCACAGAAGAGTAGCCTGGGCTGACACGATGACTCTGTGGGCAAAGGTTGCCCATCACCCTGCCACCAAGTCTTGAGACCTGAGACTCCCCAACCCACAGAGCCAACTCCTGCAAGTTGTCCTCTAATCTCTTCCACAAGTGCATGGTAGTGTGGGTGTAAACACACACACAGACACACACACACACACACAATGTTAAAAAAAAAAAAAGGCAGTGCAATCCCTTAGACTCCAAAAGGAAAACAAGTGAAGCTCCTACATTTTAAAAAACAAAGAGTTGGGGGCTGGAGAGACAGCTCAGTGGTTAAGCACTTGTTGCTCTTGCATGCAGAGGACCTGGGTTCAATTCCAGGCACCCACATGATGACTCACAACCATCTATACCTCACAGGCACTCCTGCGGTCCACATTCATATATATAAAATAAATCTAAAAGAAACACTGTATAAAGAGTGCTAGGTAGCTGCTTCCCTCGTGAGAACCTGGCAGCCATGGTTGGGATGGGATGGGAAACTTGGCTGGTGAGTCCAATGCCTTGGATGGATGTTTTTCAATATGGGGAGAGCCCCATGACATCGCATTCCGCACAAGAGAGCTAGATGCAGGCCTTGGGATCACCAGTTCTAGGTGCTTCCTCCTCCAGCTTCTAGGAGTGCCCATGTCTGGTCTGACAGTAATTAATGAGCTTGCATGAAGCTGCTCCAGGCAGGCTGAGCCAGGGCTTCCTTGCTTTGTTAGGAAAACGGAACAGAATCAGTGTGGGTTAATTAATTGGTCTTTGGGTAGTAACTACATCAGAGATACCTTGGGAAGCCTGGGAGAGTCAACCAGCTCAAGATTGATGAAGGGCTGCTAAGGTCAGGCTTCGAAACACAAAACCATCTGCCGACCCTCTGGGGCTGGTACCTGCAGAAAAGCAATTTTAGAAGAACAGGTGCTGGCTTTTAACTTAGCCCTTCTTTTCTTTTATGCTGAAATCATGACTTTAGCTGGGAAGAGCCTCCAGTTGGCTGGTGAAACTCACAAACTGTCAGTTGTACCTTAAAATAACCTGGCCCAACGGTATTGCAATAACCTCGACTGGCTGCTGCCCAAAGTCACAGACTACACACATGCCCAGCCACAGCCGCTCTGGGATCCCCAGAGTGTTAAGCAGCATCAGGACACAGTGAGTCCCGGGCACCGTTTCAGAGGACTGATAGCTAAGGGAATGTTGTTGCCCTCCAAACAGTGTACCGCTGCAAAACAGAGCATGAGGCCCATCTTCTCTGCATAGCGTGGGTGAGAGCCCACAAAGTCCTTGGGAGGTGGCTGTTGTTAAAATGTCTAGGTATTTCTGGTCCCTTGTACGTTTCTCCTGGCTCAGTGGGCTGAGTATCTTCAACTCTCTGTGATGATGATGATCCATGTGTTTGGTGACAATGGTTCAAAGACATCTTTGCTCCTTTAAAAACAACACACGGGCCATCAAGATGGCTCAAAGCCGGCTCCCAGAGACACACTTCCAAAAAGGCTGATTCTTCTAATCCTTCCCAAGCATTCAAATGTACAAGCCTATGAGAGTCGTTCTTACCGTAGCCACCCCACTCCTCACACACACAGGCACTGGCTTACAACGCACTTCCAAACAATGTAACAAGTCAAAGGAAGAGCTTCCCTTGAGAAGAGAGACTGGCTAGAGCACCCAGGGCATAGCTTCCTTGGGATCTGACTGTGTTCAGTACCCGCTCTCATATCAGGAGCTCAGCTAGTGGTAGACCTCGGCACTGTCCACATCCTGATAGGATTCCACCAAGATTTCTTTCTTTTCTATTTTGTTTTTTCTTTTTCTTCTCTTTTTCCATACCTTTTCCCCCATACTTTTTTTTTCTTTCTTTTTCTTCTTTTCCTTTTTGTTTCTTCTGGAGAGCCAGAGGAACTGGTTAATTTATTCAGGAAAAAAAAAAAGAATCTAGCAGTGAAAAGGGCCCCCATGTCATACCACACATGAACACATTCCTTTGAGGTAGATAGAAAATAGTGTTTAATAGAAAACCAGGAAATTCTTCATATTATATGTGTCTCTGACACACCCCACAGTGACCCCCCCAACTCACTATATGACATCGGATGATCTCGCACCCCTGTTCCTCCTGCCTTAGTTACCTGAGGGCTGGGATAACAGGTGTGCTCCATCACATCTGTTTTTAACTGGTCCTGGGGATGTAACACGGGTTTTCATGCATGCTAAGCAGGTCCTCTACCAACTGAGCTACATTAGAGAGTCATTTGACAGTGTCTACATTAAACATGTTGAAGCCATTGCTCGGTAATTACATTCTAAGGAGTAGTGTCCACAGTAAAAAGTGTGGAAATCTAAAAAAGACAAATACAAGCATACAACTTCTTCAAGATTTATTTTTATTTAGTTATGTGTCTGTGTACACGTGTGGTGCACATACCTATGCGGGCAGAGGTTGGATCCCTTGGAACTGGAACTACAGCTACTGGTGGGATTTCCCAGTCTGTTACATGAGTGCTGGGATCCAAATCCCATCCCTCATGATTGCACAGAAATGCTCTTAACTGCTGAGCCATCTCTCCAGTCTCCTGTTCACATCAATTTTATGCATAGCCCCAAATTGGAAGCCAGGGAAATCATCACAAACAGAAGAAAGTATAAACAAACTATAGCACATGACCAAACAATACATTTCCCCTTAACAAAGCCTAACCAAGAGAACGGTACTTACATTGATGTATGGAGTTAGTCGCTGCTGGAAAAACAGTACTGTGACTAATTAACATAGCCTAGGGGACTCCTTAATGTTGCATAAAACAAAGTTTGTTTTGTTCCCCTTTAAGAAAATGGTGAGGTTCTTGTTTGTTTGTAGCCTTAGCTACCCAACTTGTCCTACAGACAGTTTGCGTGTTTAATTAGTGATCCTTCTGTGTCTGCAACGATCAATAAAATAACTCCTTTAAAGCCCCATTTAGCTAGCAGAGGTGCACAACCAGGTATAATTAATTCTTCATGAATAAATCATGGCTGATTAACTATTCTGTTTGTTACTAACACATTATGAAACAGCTCCCACCTGAGCACAGGTAATTTTTCTCTGCCGGACAGAGCCAGAAGCTAACACTCATGTAAAAGTGCACTTTTAAGCAGCAAGTATTATTGGTGCAGTCAGGAAGCTTCTGAGTTGCAGCAGCCAAAGGCTATTAAGCTGCACAGTCGATCGTCAAGAGAGTGATGGAAACGGCCCCTACATCTGGAAGCCGGAGTGCAGGGCAGGACTCACACTCACCTATGGGCTAGAGGGACTGTTAAAACTCACAGTACTGGCCCCAGGCTGCAGAGCTCCAGACACAAGTGGTCCAGAAGAGGGCTGGTGATTTTGCTTTCCTAGCAAGTTCCCATATGGTGTGGATGCTGATGAAGGGCTCGTGCTCAGGGAACTCCCTCCCTTTCTCTTCTGCTAGGGATGACTTACAATTGCTGTGCTTCCCAAGTCCTTTCTAGAGATTCTAACAGGTTTGTTGAAGGTTTTGCTTTCTGAAGCAGGGTCTTCAAAGTCGTTGGCTAGACAGTTGTAGCTGGCCTTGGAATCCTGATCCTCCTGCTTTCCCCTCACTCGTGCTAGGTTTACAGGTGTGTTCCATTGTGCCTGGCAGGGTGGTGGTGAATTCCCACAGTCCCAGCCCTCCCTTTCTACCTTGTTCAAGGCTGAATCTCTGAGTGTTTGCCACTGTGCTGGATGTGCCAAGCTAGTTGGCCTGTGAGTCTCCAGGGGTGGGGGTGGGGGGAGTGGGGATGGAGGGATAATGGTTGGGGGAGGATTCTCCCATCTTGACAAAAGTACACAGGGATTACAGTCACTCGTTACTGTATCCATCTTTTACGTGGATTACGGGGACCCAAACTCGAGCATAAGGCTTGCCTGGCAAGTGTTTCATTCATCAAGCCCCCAGGCCATCTAATACATCCTCTCTTCTATTAATTTTCAGAGTTTTGTCCTAGGTTTTAGTTATTACACATTAGCAAAAAAATAAAGAAAATTATTTTTATTGCATGTTTGTTTTTGTATACACGTGGGTGTATGCCTTCTACAGCACCTATGTGTGTGTAAGTCAGAGGACAACATGCAGGGGTTGGTTCTGCTTCTACTGTGTGGGTCCCAGGAATCGAACTCAGGTTGTCGGCCTCCACGGCAAGTGTTTTAGCTACTCAGACATCTTGCTAGCCCCCAAATCACTGGTTTTGTTTGTTTTAGCTACACTGAAATTGCATTGTCCCCCAACATGAACTGTTTCATTTTGCTATCTTCACAGCTCATACTGATCCAAATACCCCACTGTCTCAGGACGGCCTCCCTAACAGTTTTCAGTCTATTCGTCTTAGTGTTATTACATCGTGAGATGTTTTCCTGCGTGTCACTCAGGATGGTACTCTGAGCCAAGCAAACTGCAATCTTCAGGAGTTCAGCTGTCTCATTTACACATGACCATCCCAGCTGGGTTCCTTCACTTAGAGGGGTGGGGAGGTCATGGGACCCTCACCTGGGTATCTAGCCTAATGTTGCCCTAATCGCACGTAGCCCCGCAAGAGGCTAGGGGATATAGGCCAGCAACGACTGAGGGCATAGGGCTCCATCTATGCTGCTACAGGAAAGTCATCAGCGTTGCTAGATAAAAGCGTTTCTGGGTACTACATTTCAGGGGAGCACACCCAATAGCTAAGCGGTGCCCTGGGGGAACTTGGTGGCATTGTACCTCAGTTTGTCTTTGGAAACTCAGAGGATGGGAAGGAAATGTTTATGTGGTCCACGCCCACAGGGAAGGGATTTTATCAACACTGCAGGGCTGGAGGGATAGCTCAGTCGTTAAAGGCTAGGCTCACAACCAAAAATTATCAACACTGCATTTCCACAAGCTACTAATTCTTATGAACAGCTGTGAAATACTCTGTCAGGTATGGCCTCCAAATTTAAGGGGCCTCGGCTGGCTCCTTATCAATGGATTTCTCACTTTGGTTGGCAGTCATAATCAAAAGAAGTGACAGTGCCCAGGCGTTGATGGTGCACGCCTTTTAATCCCTACATTTGGGAGGCAGAGGCAGTAGGATCTCTGTGAGTTTGAGACCAGCCTGGTCTACAAGAGTTAGTTTTAGGGTCCAAACCTATGCAGAGAAACCCAGTCTTGAAAACCAAAACCAAAACGAAACAAAAAGAAGTGACAGCATGGATCCCTGTCACTCCCTGCCGAGTTCCTGAAGACACACAGGCAGAGGCCAGAGCCCTTCACCAGCTGAGGAGTCTGGAGATGCGGTCTCACCTCCATCCGCTGCCTTCCCTTTCTGGTCTTCACACGAGGGTTGAGGGCACTGCTCGGTGGGCTTGCTGAAGCAAGCTCTGGGAATTTGTCGTTGGTTTGGGCTGGGTTTTGGTTTTGGTATGGAGAAAACACTGTGATCAGCAGTGGCCACAGCCCAGCACAAGTGTCTCTAGACTGTCAGCGTGCCCTCTAAGACAATAGCAGCGCCACCCTTCATGTCAACTCGTCCATCAGGCCGCAGGGAAATGTCCAGTTCCCCTCCTCGGCGGGAACACTGAAAGGCTTAAAGAGAACACAGAGTGGGCCAATTGAAAGCATTTCCCTGTGATTAACCAACTATGCAGGGAAGGAGTGATTGTTACAGACCCAGGGCTCCTCCCAGGCCAGTTTCCAGAATAAGTTCCTTCACGTCCATACCCCGCCCCCATTCTCCTGCAGACCAGGGGTCCACACACAGCTGATGTGCACACACTGCCCAGCTCTTTCCTTCCTGGGCCTTTTAGTGCGCCTCTGAGAAGGCCCCATCTTCAGCCCTGAATTGAACAGAGGGCGTTTGCTTTCTCAAAACATATTACAGCAACCATATGCGCCAGGTCCACCAAAGAGTCATGGCCTCAGATTCCTAGGATCTCAGGAAGTCATTACACTCACCCAGGATAGAGAAAAGGGACTGTCCATCTCCAAGGTTACACAGCAAGCTAATTACATAGATCAAGATTTATTAAATACTCACCGTATCAGAAATATCTGTGTTTGGGGAGGCAGGGATGGAAAGGGTTGGGAGTGGTGGTGGGGGTCACTGAAGGGGAAATGTTTCAGGGATCTTTCACATGAGTGATAAGTTCTAAATATATATATATATATATATATATATATACACACACACACACACACACACACATATGATCTACTTTTCGTTTGTTTTTTGGTGTTATTTTATTTTTGAGACAGGTTGTCCTTGTGTAACCCTGGCTGTCCTGGAATTTGCTCTGTAGATGAGGCTGGCTTCCAACTCAGATATCTGACTGTCTCTGCCTCCCAAGTGCTAGGATTAAAGGTGGGCACCACCAGCAACCAGCTCAGATCCTACTATGTTTTTAAGGAGCTAATGCACATGAGAATAGATACGAGTCTAAAATGAGGCAAATAAATTCGAGCTGGGCATAGTATTGAACAATCCCAGCCCTTAGGAGCTATATGCAAATGGGAGGCTAGCCTGGTCTACATAGCAAGACACTGTCCCAAATAGTTAAGGGATGGGGCTATGACTCTTTGTTTGAGCATTTGCAAAGCCCTGAGTTCAACACCGAAGCACCCAAAAAGGAGGAGAGAGGGGGAAATATCTGCCCTACCTCGCATCTCTTTCTTCCCAAGCTGCTGGGACCAGTAACTGCTGAGAACAGTATGCGCTGATCCTGTAAAGTAAGACGTTTGAGAACAGGCAAAGGAAACAGACGTCCCTGATTGTGTTATATGATAAATCACTTAAGCAGTTTGGCTAAACCTTAGATGACCTAATCCTAATGTCAACCAGGCCACAGCATAGTACGCAGTAAGGAAAGGAAGGCGGGGTTTATGAATCCACTCTCCCAAATTGTCTATCAACTATGCTGTTTCCCCAGGATTAGACGCCAGGGATTTGCTTGCTTGTTTTTTGACTCAGGGTTCCATGTCCCTCTAGCTGACTAGAATGTTCTATGTAGCTGAGACTGGTCTTGGACTCCTGGTCCTCCTGCCTGTACTTGCTGAGTCCTGGGATTACAGATGTGTACCACCACACCTGCTTTGGACTTTATTTTGGCTCTACCATTCATTGTCAGCTCTTTCCTCTGGAGTTAGAGTTTGAGACAGTTGAGAGCTGCCTAACATGAACTCTGGGAACTGAACTCAGGTCCTCTGTGAGAGCAGTAGTCACTCTTTTTTTTTTTTTTTTTTTTTTTTTTTTTGGTGTAGACCAGGCTGTCCTCGAACTCACAGAGATCCACGTACCTCTGCCTCCCCAGTGCTGGGATTAACGGCGTGCGCCACCAATGCCCGGCTAAGCAGTATTCACTCTTAACCACTCAGTCATCACCTCTTCATGCAGCATTGTCAGCTCTTGATAGGAAATTCAAGGCCTTCATATAAATCTTTCTGTAATTTCCAAGGAACTTATCTCCTTCCTCTAGAGCATGTATGCAAATAAAGGAACTCAGACACAGGGTCAACCTTGTAGGGCTTTGTGGACAAAATGAGCATTCCTTTCAGGCAGGGTTTTGCTACTGTTTGATGTGCTGGGCAAGTTTTCTACACATTAAGCTTTCTCCTCAGTTACTTAGTTACTCCTTAGGTACTTTTGTACCCTAGAAGTAGATTAGAGACTACATATGAAAACAAAATCTAAAGTCACGCCAGTTCCTGGTGGTGTAGGCCTATAGAGTCCTACACAGGCATTCATGAAGCCTGTTTGGAGGATTTATGAGCTACATAGGGGATCTGAGGCCAGGCCAGGCTGGCTACATGAGACCTGTCTTGAAAAACAGAAAAAAAAAAAGAAGAAAGTAAAAAGTAAAAATGCTAAGACTTTATTTCTAACTGGCTGAAAGGTCTTTAGGGAGGAACAGAAGGAAGTTTTCTCTTCTCACCCACCAGACAAGCTGACTGAGCATTATGGGATGGCTAAGTATGATAGCCAACATTCTACTTTGCCCAAGATTGGCACTAAGGGCTCCATGTCTCAGGGTCCCTCAATCCCACTCTGCCCTTGCTGGTCTAAAAACCTTCACCTTCTAGAAAACAGTACACACAGAAGTGCATTGCTTGTCAGTCTTTGGGAAGCAGCTGTGTCTACACACACTGCCATGGTGTGCTGGCTAGTTTTCTGTCAGCTTGACACAAGCTAGAGTCCCTGGGAAGGAGGGAACCTCAATTGAGAAAATGCCTCCATAAGATCTGGCTGTAAGGCTTTTTCTTAATTAGTGATTGATGGGGGAGGGCCCAGCCCATTGTGGATGGTACCATCCCTGGGTTGGTGGTCCTGGGTTCTATAAGAAAGCAGGCCAAGTAAGCCATAATGAGCAAGTCAGTAAGCCGCACCCCTCCACGGCCTCTACATCAACTCCTGCCTTCAGGTCCCTGCTCAGTTTGCCTTCCTTCCTGATGTCCTTCAGGGATGGGCTACAATGTGGAAGTGTAAGTCAAATAAACCCCTTCCTCCCCAACCTCCTTTCGGTCACGGCGTTTCATCACAGCAATGGAAACCCTAGCTAAGATACGTGGGGAGAGACTCAGTGAACTTCATAGATGCTGTGGGCATTTGCCCGAGTCTTATGCAATACTTTGCTGAGCTTGTGTTCAGGCATTTTGTTTCAGAGAACTCACTGAAGTACCAGAGCCACCCGGTTCCTAGCATGTCGAGACTCTGCCCAGCCCCTTTCAGCCTTGAACTCCATTTCCCCCAGCAACCCCCTCCATCAAGCACCCCTACCCTTGGCCACATAGACCACCAATCTCAGAGAGGGTACAAGTGCAGGGTGTGACATTCCTGCCTATCTTTGATGTCACTCCTCTGCTTCCAGCGGGCACAAGGTCTGCAAGTGTTGGCTCGGGGATCTAGGTGCATTGCTAGCAAATGATGCAGGTCTATGGATGTAACTCTGGGGTGGAGCGCGTGCCTAGCAAGCAAGGAGACCCTGGGTCTAATCCCCAGTACTAGGAGAAATGGAGGAGGGGGAGGGGGAGGGAGAAGAGAAAGAGGCTAGTGAACATAGCTAGTGTTTGCTGGGCATTTACCATGTGCCAAGCACTGCATTTCCCCTGTGCATCATGTAGAGGAGGGACTGAGACTTTGAGGGGTTGTCACTGGTCACTGGTCCAGGTGATAAGAACAAGGAAGGCAGGGCTGCAGAACTTCATTTTTAAAGCATCTTTTCACAGATTTGAGTGAAAGGGTAGAGGGAGAGAAGGAAAGATGGAAGAGCAAAGGGAGCCCAAGCCACCCAGCTGCAATCCCAGCACCCAGCTGCAATCCCAGCACCCAGCTGCAATCCCAGCACACAGCTGCAATTCCAGCACCCAGCTGCAATCCCAGCACCCAGCTGCAATCCCAGCACACAGCAGCAATCCCAGCACACAGCTGCAATCCCAGCACACAGCTGCAATCCAGGCTTTGGAAGGCAGAGGCAAGAGGAGGCAGCAGGAAGTCAAAGTCATCCTCGGTTCATGCTGACTTGGAGACCAGGTTACATGAAACCCTGCTTCAGAAAACAAAATCAAAGCAGGTATCTGGCGTGTCACGTGAAAGGCTATTTGCTTTAGTTTCTTTCCTTGTCGTTGGGATAAAATATTGTGACAGAAGCAACTTCAGGGGCAAAGAGTTTATTCTGGCTCAGGGGTAAAGGCGCGGCCCTTCATGGCTTCGCAGTTGGCTGCAGGAGCTTGAAGCAGCTGCCCACATCGCAGCCACAGTCAGGAGAGAGCAGTGAACGCAGCTGCTGCTTAGCCCCTCTCCTTTTACGCCAGCCAGGGTCCCAGTCCGGGAATAAAGATAGGCTTGCCCACTTAACATATTCAAGGTAATTCCTCAGAGTTGTGTCAGAGACCCGTCTCCCAAGTGGTTTGCATTCTGTCACATGGACAACACCAAACACCACAGTGTGTAGCTATTTGTATCCCTCCCCTTCCCTAGGAAAGCCACCCCTGAGGGTAAGTCAAGAGTACCTGTTACCGGGTCTTCAGGCAAACCAACCCACGGTGCAAAGTACCGGGAGTAGAAGTCATATTGGGGTGTCTGCCCCTCAGGCTCTCCTCTGAGAGTAAGAATGAGTCCTTTCACCTTCCCTGTCTTTTCAATTTGAGGCAGAGGCTCTGTGTTCACCTTTAGGGTCTCTAGAAAGGACCTGAGCACAAACAGAACGGATCAGCAATAAGCATTTCACAGACCACCCCCTGCACAGCCCAGGGAAGAGGCTGGGCTGTGCCCAGAGGGCTCAGCAGAGGGAAGGGAGAGCCTGCCTTTGGCATCGGCCTATGGGAAAGAAAGTAGTCTCTAATCCCAGCACTCAGGAGGCAGAGGCAGGCGGATCTCTGTGAGTCTGATGATAGCCTGTTCTACAGAGCGAGTTCCAGAACAGCCAGAGCTATATAGGGAGACCCTGTCTCAAAAGAAAAGTCATGCAGCGGAGATAGCAGAGCTAGAAACCTGGGTGCTGGCATGTAAATGGTTAAACATGACATTTACCTGTTGTAAGAGTCGCTGAGTCGGACTAGGAGTTTTCGGGTATCTGGAGAGTAGCGGATATCCTGGACCAGGGTGTCACCTATGGCTGCCTGTGAAACAGATCAAAATTGCCTCAGAGGGTCAACAAGATGGTTTGATGAGAAAAGGTACTTGCTGCCAAGTTTTGTAACCTGAATTCAGTCACCCAGACCCAAATGACAGGAGAGAACACACTCCTGCAAGTTGTCCTCTGACCTCTAACCTCACACCATGGCTTGCCCAGCATGCATGACACCATAGCACCACATAAACCAGGCAAAAGGATGAGAAGTTCATGGTCAAGCTGCAAAGATAGCCCAGTTGGTAAAGTTTCTTTGGTCTGCTCTGTGTGCCCTTCTAGGCTAAACAGTCACATGTTCAGATCTCCCAGTTAAAGTCAGTCCCATCTCAGAGGACAGTCGTAAACACGTGGGGGACTTCTCAGCAGAATCCCAAATTTGTTTTTCTATTGACCTCCCTTGTTCTGATGTGGTCCCTTCCATTTTCCCCTAAGCACCTGGGGTTCTAGAACAAGACAACTGCAGTACTTATTGTCGCTGGGTGAGACATTGAGAATAAAATAAGATAGTGTGGGTAAAACACATAGCACACGGCGCCACTCACAGAGCAGGCTCTCCCATAATAATTATGGGGGTAGTGATGGCTCACACCCTATAGACCCACAAGAAGACCAGGCTACATTTCTTGTCCTCACTGGGTAGCACCCAGACTTTCTTTGCCCTCCTCCTCACTCCCATTGTCCAATATTCAAACTGATGATGGTGACAACTTTCCTTCCACCTTCTTTCTGCAGATTTCATGGGCTGGTCTTTCCTATAGAAAAATCTAACACTGGTGCAATAATAGCATGACTGTTATGGGGTCGTTACACTAGAGACCTGCCTCACAGGATGGAACTCATTTCTCATACTGTGAACCTTGTTAAGTGCCCATGGCTGGGAAGGTCGAGGGCCCTGAGAGGGGACATACTACTGTGGTTTTGGTAAATGGACGTGTGTCACACAGCGTTCTAAATATTTGTGTTTATATCTATAGGCTATTGCCATCCTCAGCCTTTGTCAGAGAATCTTAGTTTTGCAGTAAGTAGCAGTTAATGCAGAGACTCGTCACTGGTCAGAAGCTGAGATGAAGTGGCTTTTGAGCGTGTGGCCCTAACTGAGACATCTATTATTATCTATTCCCAAAGTAAGAAGAGGGTGTGGGAAGAGTGTAAAAGTCAAAGGACGGGGAAGAGCACTGCAGATGGATCTTCTAGACATGACATGGCCACTGCACTCATGAGCTCATGAGCATCACAGCAGCTATGGCTATCTGCAAAACATCAGGCTGGTCAGCATCTCATCATAGATAGGGAGGAGCGCATGAGGTCCACAGCCTCCCTGAGAGACTTTTGGCAGTTAATGGCAACTGCTGAAAGGGTATCATTTTGTCAGTGGTGTGACCACTGATAAATTGCCCAGATTCCAGTAAATAATACCCACCTCTACCCAGTGTTCATGCAAGCAACTCTGTTTAAACTCAGTGGGACACACACACACACACACAGAGAGAGAGAGAGAGAGAGAGAGAGAGAGAGAGAGAGAGAGAGAGAGAGAGAGAGAGAGAGAGAGACCCAGAATTGTGAAAAGTAGGGAAATTGTTGGGAAGAACTATTTCATTGGGGGAGGGAGAGGGAAAAGGAATGGTAGGGGGAGAAAAAAAGACCAAAATTTGTTTTATACAGGTCTGAACTTGCAAAGGAATTTTTAAAGAAAGACAATCCTCAGCTCTCCTACTTGAACTTGCATGGGCACACACCATCAAGCCTGGCTGATTTCTCCTTCCTGCTGGAATGAACGGAAATTCAAGGGGGCTGAGGATGCCTGATAACTTTCTTCACCACCTCCTACAGGCCCCCTCCCTCCCTGTCTCTCTACCCTAAACTCCCCATCTTACTCCTGTCCCTCAATGGAGGTTATCTTGCTCATAGACATAGTTAAATGTGTTGGGTGTGATGACATGAAACTGTCATCCCAGCAAGCATTTGCTAGGCAAGAGGATTGCTTGCTAGTTCAAGGGTAGCCTGGGCTGCACAGTGATTACAACTCTACGAAAGTGATCAATCTTACCAAATAAATACAATACTAACATTCTAATGTGAAATTACCTAGGCTTCCACTGCAACACCTGCACTAGTAGGAGGCCCATTTTGGAAGGATCACATCATGTCAGAACACAGTCTGGCAAGAAAGGAGTCCTGCAAGGGGAATTCCGAGTACCCATGAGAAAACTCCAAGAAAACAAGACAAGAGTCTTGTGACCTTAGCTCCTTCAGAAACATAGAATTGTTCCTGGAATGTGCTTTTGTGCCCCTCCCAACGGTAGCAGATAGGAGTGAGTTAACGTCAGAGTGTTACAACTGTCTACTGCTATCGGTTTCTGTGCCTCTATGGAAAAAAGCCAAGTGCAGCTTGTCCTTGTGAGTGTACACTTGACTCAGGTGACTCTTTCTTAACCCTCAGAGGATGAATAGTCTGATTCTCTGGAAAAAAGTTGACTATTGCATGAGACTTTACTCTACCTCAAGTTTAGGCCCCGCTCTCCCAGGTTCACACCACCCATCAGCAGTAAACAACGTGACACCAGAGCTTTCAAACACAAACACACACAATCACAGACAGGGCTCTAGCTGGATTCTTTCCACCAACCTTTATCAAGTCTTCCACTTCACGGAAGTCCTGGAAGAGGGAAAGACACACAGTCAGTGCTGGACAGGAGAGCCGCCGGCTAAACGCAGCTGGTGGATGTGATTGTGTGTGTTACAGTTAGACGCACATACAGTAAGAGCGAGCTGACCTGGGGGAAGGCTGGGTAGAGAGGAAAGTCCAGGACAATCCCGTCCTCTGCTCTTCTGGCCCTTAGTTCCCCACTCATGGTGGCAAAGGTTAGAGTGCTGTTCGTGTTCTCTGCACAGAGGAGGAATTAAGCAAGAATCAGGAAAATAAGCTTGGTACAGGGGATTCCCCTAACCCCCAATACTAGGGACTGAATATGGCACCACACAGATTCAAGGCAAGTGACCTGACACTGAGCTACAGTCCCAGCCCACTTTAAGTGTTTTTTGTTTTGTTTTTTGAGACAGGGTTTCTCTGTGTAGCCCTGGCTGTCCTGGAATTTTCTCTGTAGACCAGGCTGGCCTGGAACTCCCAGAGATCTATCTGCTTCTGCCTCCTGAGTGCTGGGATTAAAGGCATGCACCACCAACTCCCAGCCTGCTTTTTTTATTTTTTATTTTTATTTTTTGGTTTTTTGAGACAGGGTTTCTCTGTAGCTTTGGAGGCTGTCCTGGAACTCACTTTGTGGACCAGGCTGGCCTCAAACTCACAGAGATCCGCCTGCCTCTGCCTCCCGAGTGCTGGGATTAAAGGAGTGCGCCACCAACGCCCAGCCAGCCTGCTTTTTTTTTTTTTAAAAAAAAAGTATTTTCTATTTTATTTTTCAAAGCAAGATCTTAACTATGGAACCCTCACTAACCTGTAACTCCCTATGTATGCCAGGCTGGTTTTGAACTCACAAAGACTTACTTGCTTCTACCTCTAGAGTGCTGCTGGTCCATACATGGAATCCTAGTACTGGAAATATGACGGCAGGGAGACCAAGAGCACAAAATCTTCCTTAGCTACATAGAGAACCCAGGGCAAGCCTGAGACACAAATAATACCTGTCTCAGAAAAGTGTACATACGGGAGTCAGGTGTGGTGGTACACATCTTTAGTCCCAGCGTTGGGGAGGTAGAGACAAGAGGATCTCTGTTTGAGACCAGCCTGGTCTACAGAGTGAGTTCCAAGACAGCCAGGACTACCTGGCTCAGAGAAAAACAACATATATGCATAATAAAATCATACACAAAGTAAAATTCGCTTACTTATTTTGTGAAACAGCACAGCCGCAGAGGCCAGGGTGGCGTGGCCACACAGAGGAACCTCATTCACTGGTGTAAACCACCTTAGTCCAAAGCAGGAACCTTCAGAGGAAGGAAAGTCCAAGAGATACAAGTCAGACAGACACACAGGGGTGAGTCTTCAGCTTCGCAGCATCTTCTAAATCTCTCGCTGGTGTGGTTAACAGCAACTGTCATCAAAGGACAAATGCATACTAAACAGACATCCACAGGCTCCCTGGGGCTAGTCTGCAGCAGAAACAGGAGGTTCACAAACACCCTCTTAGTCCATTTGGGTTGTTGTAACAGAACCCCACTGATTGGGTGACCTGGGGAAAAGAATACCTGTAATAGACCCGATGACTTAGAGATTCAAGGTCTAGGGGCTGGCACCTGCTGAGCATCCTGTCACTTTATTAGCCCAAGGCAAGGCACAGACACACGAGGGCGCCAAACACCCATGTCCCAGAAGCCCACTCGTGAGATACCAAGCCGCCCTCACAGAGGTGACATCACTCCTTTATCTCCTATGAGGATCCACCTACCAATATGCTACCCTGGGGACCCATTTTCTGATACATGACCTTAGGTGTGGGAAACCTTCAACTTTAAGCTTAGACTTAACTTAGATGAACTAAACTGTTATCTGCCGGCAGATAACACATAAGCATCTCCTTAAACCTCCCTCCCAAGACTCGGCTTCCCCCGCCACCCAGGAATCTACGAAAAATTCGTATTTACTTTGTGTGAAGTTGTCACTTGGTTGCAGTTTCCTGATGAAAGCCGTTTCGGAGAGGTTCATTTCCCTTGCAATTTGTTGATGGGCATCTTCAGCCAGTGTCTTAATTGGGAACAAAAGGTTACGGAGACTTTGGAAACACAACTCAGACGTCCTTGCATGGCCAGCCACCCTTAGTTAACATAGCAGTTTACCCTTGACTTGTGAAATACATGCTATGTGCCGAGGAATTGGAGGCATGTTTAGGCAGACGGTTTTTCAGCTGCCCAGGCCTATAGCGTCTATGTGGAATCACAATGTACAAAGCCACAGTTGTGAAAATCCCTAAAATTGGGCCTGGTTCCTCTCTGTCAGTTTGCTATTAAGTAAACGATCTTGTGATCTTTTTAATTCACTATTTCCAAGTGCAGGGAATCAACCCTAGAGCCTCACGTATTCTGGGCAAGTATTCTATCGCTGAGCTGTGGCCACGGCCAATTTTAATTAATGGATCACTTTTTATTTGTAGATGAGCTCTAAGATGCCCAGGTGGGTCTCCAACCTGTGATTCTTCTGCCTCAGCCTCGTGAATATCAGGGATTGGGGCTGTACACCCAAGCCTGGTTTTTTGCTCTATGTTTTTCTTGAGACAGGGTCTCACTGAAGGTTCTAGCTGTCCCGGGACTCACTATGTAGCCCAGGTTATCTCCATACATATAAACTCACAGTCCTCTTCCTCAGTCTCCTAAGTGTTGAGATTTCAGGTGAGTGCCACCATCCCCACCTACCATTTTTCTCTAAATTTACATTTTTAAAAAGAAATTACATCTGTGGGAAGGGGCTGGGTATGTGTGCTTTTGAATACCACGGTGCCCTTGTGGAGGTCAGAGAAAAACATGGGGAAGTTAATTTTTTTCCCTCCCACCATGTGGGTCCTGAGGATCCAACTCTGGTCATCAGACTTGGCAGCAAGCAGATTTTCCCCCAGGAACAATTTCACTCACCATCAGCATCTTTTATTTTTTTATAAAGTTAAACCCACTAATACATACAAAATGCTTCTCCAGTGTCAACACTCAGCAGTACTTACAATGAGACCTATGCTAGTTTCTGATAAGAAAAGCGTTTTCTTTTATGCCAAGCAGTCAGTGTAACATTCTGGGGCATGCATGCCATAGCATGCATTGGAGGTCAGAAGACAACCTTTGGACTCAGTCCTCACCTTCCATCTCTACCTGGGCTCCAGGGATTTAACTCAGGTCATCAGGATTGTGCAACAAGCACCTTCATCGGCTGAGCCTTGTTTCTGACCTTTCAAGCAACTAAACGAACAAAGAAATGAAGCTCAGAATGGTGGAGCACACCTGCAGCCCTGCTACTCGGGAGGTGCAGACAGAAAGATTAGGTTACAATTTCACTGAGGTTAAGTTCAGGAGAGGAAGAGAGAACTTAGGGAACCATGCAACTTCTTATTGGCTGGTGAAAACTGTATGTTTACATCCTTCAAATCCCAAGGATATTACACGGACACATAGAGAGAGCCTAGTCATCCTCATCCATCCGAGCTCCACTGCTGCCAAATATATGCTTGTGACTGGGAGACAGGGAGCTATCCCCATGGCAGCAGAAGTGTGGCGCAACCTCAGAGGGGAGAGAGAGCGAGCACGGCTGTGGCAGTCAGAGGACAGTTTTCAGGTGAGGATCAAACACAAGGCAGCGCACTCTTCTGCCGCTGCTCTGCGCAGTCTGGGTTGCTGGCTTCCAGAAGATTCTCTGGTCTCCAGCTCCCCTATCACGGTAGGAATGATGGGAATACGGGTGTTTTCAATGTAGGTGCTGGAAATTGAGCCCTAGTGAAAGGATCTCTGCTCATCAGACGCATGCCGCTCGCACCTCCCCCCCCCCCAGCTTTCTCCTTTTCTCACCCATGAACCTGTACTGTCCTTCTAGGGTGGAGCTTGGCCCTGGAGACCTGACTGGGAAGAGGAGGGAATGAAGAAATGACAGACAGACAGACAGACAGACAGACAGACAGACAGACAGACAGACAGAGAAGCTGGGATGGGGTGGGCTATGCTCACTCCAGCGGAGGGCACCTACTGCTCAACACAGAATCTCCCCATGTTTATTATGTAGAGCACTGGGAGGAGGCCTTAGCTGGTGTCCCTGCAGAGTCTCTGTATGGGACAGTCGTAGGCTGTGACCAAACCTAGGAGGAGGAAGCTGCAGCCCCATATTCTAGACATTCTGTCAGTGTTCCCACACAGGCCAGGGGATTAGCCTCTTCCCAGGGCTTCTTTGACAATCCCCATGGCTCTGAACACTGGGTTCTTCGACCCGGCTGTGGTCATAGCAAACAATACATCCTCACCCAGGACTTTCATCCACTGTCGCCCACAGTTAGGGAGGGGCTTTCCAAACAAGAAAAGTTATCTGTAGCCTCCTTCAAGACAAGTCAAGAATGTGTCTCCAAGGCCACTCTAGAGATTGTCAAGATGGCTTCCCACTGCCCAGAAAACAATACAACAGTCACCCAGAAGACAAAGGAATATTTAACTATCCCCTTAGCCATCATCCTAATCAAAACCCTGTATATATCTAATCCAAGATCAACTAATTCATTTATTTGGAACAACTGTTAGGTCAAAGGGCTTCTTGCAGAGGGATTTCTGCTTCCACCATGTGACTCCCAGGGATTGAACTGGTCTTTGGACTTGGTGCCAAGGAACTATCCCTGCTGAGCCATCACTCCCACACAAAAGAGCTATGTATACAATGAAGATTTTGGCAAACTAACTTTTCCAGGAACTAGAGATCAACTCCTAGTTTCTCCTTAATTTCTTGCAAGTACCTTATTTTCTTGATCCTAAAGAGATTTTTAAAACTATTTTGATGATTATTTTGAGAGAGAGTGTGTGTGTTAGTTCACTTGAGTGTAGAGCCTGAGAGAGAGAGAGAGAGAGAGAGAGAGAGAGAGAGAGAGAGAGAGAGAAAGAGAGAGAGAAAGAGAGAGAGAGCCCCCACTCCCTGCTGCTGCCTCTTCAATGGGCTCCAGGTACTCTGCATGGGAATCTCTGAGGTCCTGACTGAGTCTGGGTGTAGCCATTCCTGTCATAACCTGAAAACACGACCATCACCGATATGATAGAGAACACAAGCCAAAGTAGCAAACCCTCAGGATGGTCTCACGTCCTTTCCAGAAGTCATGGGCTCCACACACATCTAGAATTTCAGGCATGGCCCTTGAGAACCGAGTACTTACATTTTCCAGGAGGCAGACAGCAGCAGGATTGCCCCTGAAAGCTGTGGCCGTGAAGGCATCTGCTATGAAAATCGGGAGTTTCATTTTCCTCACCCGCTCTGTCTGCAAGGTCTCAGCCTAGCTGGCAGCCTGCTTCCCTTCCTGTTGTTCCAAAACAAAAGCCAGAAAGTTAATGATTTACTGGTGCACACATGCACACAGTTAATACTTTCCCAGATACAAAGGCAAACAATTATTCTGGTGTAACCCCTTCTACGGACACCAATCCTCTGTTTTCAGCCTTTGCACTGAATTACCTTTGCAGGGAGGAGCTTAGTGCAGGGCAAGTGAGCACTTGCTTGGTATGCACAGAGCTGTGGTTCCATCCTAGCACTGAAGGACAGAAGGCTGCGGATCCACCTCGGTTGCTAGTATTGGCTTAGCATGCACAAAGCCCTGGATCAAATTCCCTGTGGCACTTAAACAGGACATGGAAACTGAGGCAGAAGGGACAAAAAGGTTCAAAGCCATCCTCAGTTCCCAGGCCAACCTGGAATATGTGAGACCCGTCTCAAAACAATAGGAGAGTTTATCATCATACACAGTATATGAACGTTTAAAGTCCATTAGTCCGAGAGGTAAAGAGAAAACACTGGTTTGTTTGTTTCTTGACTTTGTTTTTTGTTTTATTGTTTGTTTCATTTTTGTCTTTTGAGACTGGGTTTCTCTATGTAGCCCTGGCTGTCCTGGAACTCTGTAGGCCATACTTGCCTTCTAACTCAGACCTGCTTGCCTCTGCCTCCTGAATGCTGGGATTAAAGACATGTGCTATCACCGACTGGGTTTTCATCAGCAGGAAACAACATCAAATCACCCTCTTCTTGTTTGTTTTGCTTTGTAAAGATGGGGTCTTACTATGCAGCCTTTATGGCCTGGATCTTTTTTTTTTTTTTTTTTTTTTTTTTTTGGTTTTTTGAGACAGGGTTTCTCTGTGGCTTTGGAGGCTGTCCTGGAACTCACTTTGTAGACCAGGCTGGCCTCGAACTCACAGAGATCCGACTGCCTCTGCCTCCCGAGTGCTGGGATTAAAGGCGTGTGCCACCAATGCCCGGCCCTATGGCCTGGATCTTAAGGCTGGTCTTGAACCCAGAGATCTGCCTTTCCCTGCTTCTGGGAATAAAGTCCTGTGCCACCACACCTGACTTCCCTTTCTCCTTTTGAATTTACTTGGCTGCTAGAAGAGGCTCTGGTACACCACAAATATATACTGAACGATTTAAGTGGTACTATACTCAGCACACACCTTCACTGAACTTTAGAGTCTGGAAGATAAAAAAAGAGGCTTGGCCATTGAAGCCATCTTCCAGGATGTGTCTCCATCAGTAGCAGTGTTGTCACCGAGCCTCGGCTTGTTTATGTGAATGTTTGAAGATGTCCAGTGGGTTGCCTTCATTCTATCAGATAGCGAGAGTCAGCACAGAAAGGAACAAAGCTTCTCTAATGACACACGGTTCCCTTCTCCGCAGCTGGGATGGAGCCCAGGCCTCCCACATGACTGCTAACTGGCCTGCCACTCAGCTTGTCCACCTGTTACGTGGGGCCAGGGTCTTGCCATGTTCTCCGTGTTGGCCTTGAACTGTCTGTGCAACCCAGGCAGACCTTCAGCTTGCAATCCTCCTGCCTCAGCTTCCTGAAGAGCTGGGATTGCAGGCTTGTGTCTCCTGGCATCAGGTCTCCACAGATGTAACGGAAGCTTGTGAGCCAGGCTCAGCAGCACAGGCCTGTGATACCAGAAGACTGCAACAGGAGGACTGCCCTGAGTTCAAGGCCAGACTGGGATATCTCAGTCTCAAAGAAAAAAACATTTATAAGAAATATTATGTTTGGGGTTGGCTGATCTTCAGCCTCATTGGTTCCATCCATCAGCTCTCACTCCCTGGGAGAGGAAATACATGAACTCCAGTATCCAGAGTTACATGTGCAAGTTTTTGAAATGTCAGTTAAATGGTTTTCTGAAATAACATGTAAGTTGTGTGTGTGTGTCTGTGTGTCTGTGTGTTTGTGTGCTTGTGTGTAGGGTTAAGCTCAGACACCCAGCATATCTTTTCTAACACAGATACATCCCCTCCCCAGCCCTGAATCCCTAATGTTTTTAAGAGATGAGAAAGGCTTAAGTGGTCCCTCTGCCTCACCTTCTCCAGGACAGTCATCGACTTTGGCTGTGAATACTTATAAGGGCTGATTCTGGGAGCAGGGAGATGTCTCAACCACTGACCGCACTTACCATGCAAGTCTGGACCAGAGTTCAACCCCCCACAAGGGTTGGAGGAGAGACCGACTCCACAAAGTTGTCATCTGATGCCATCTGTTGTTCTCTGAGTTTTAGGTCCCCAGTAAGATCTGAGAATTTAATCCCAGGACTGGGGGTGTGATGCAGTTTGTAGTGTTAGCCTGGCATGCACAAGACTCTGCTTCTAGCCATAGCATCTCTTAAAACACAGAGAAAACTGAATGATAAACTGGGGCAGGAGACATAGAAACTGATTTGTCCGCAGATGGGTGTGTGAGTGTCTCTGCTCTGCTGTTTTGTGTGTCCCAGACTGTTCTTCAAGTCACAATCCTCCTGCCTCCACACAAGTCAAGGGTCTATAGGCTGGCTAGCAATTTTTGAAATGGTTGAGACTTAGCACCAGTGAATTCAGCTTTACAAAACACCCTTTGTTGAGACAGGGTTTGGAGTGGCACAGGTTAGCTGATAATTTGCCCTGTTGAAACTGGCCTTGAACTCCTGATCCTCCTGCCTCTCACTAGAGCCTAGGCAAGTACCACCACACCAGGTTTAAGATTATCTTGCCTGAGGAGGAAATCTACTCCAAATCCACCCACGTGGAGTCGACATCACAGATTTCACCAAATTCAAAGTTACGTTAAATCACGGTTTATTAAACAAGAGAAGGCTTTGGCTTTTCCATTATCAAGACACAGAGGAGAAAAAGGTCACAGATCACACGTGTAGCTAGTTTTTATTTTATCATCACATGATCTAATAAGATACACACTTTGTTTCAATTTCCTGAGTTCTGTCCTGATTGTTTCTTATAGACACTAAGATTACTCTGAATTTTCCCACAGTTTCCTTTGCTATCTTCAGTCATGTGACTCCATGTTCTCCACAGCCATAGCACAGTCTCCCTAACAGTGTACAGTCTATTATCTTTAATGTTCAGTTTTAATTCCCACAGTTATTGGATCTCTCAAAAGGTTATGAGTCTGGGCAGGATGGCGCACACCACAAACCCAGCACTCAAGAGGCAGAGGCAAGCAGATGTCTGTGAGTTGGAGGGTAGCCTGGTCTACACAGGGTCTATGCAGTAAGACTCTGTCTTTAAATTAAAATTATACATATGCTTGTAAAAATCTTCTATCTGGTATACACACCTAAATCTAAATTTCATCTCCATCCTTATTAATGAATCTCTCACTTTGGTTGGCAGTCATAATCAAAAGAAGTGACAGCATGGATCCCTGTCACTCCCTGCCGAGTTCCTGAAGACACACAGGCAGAGGCCAGAGCCCTTCACCAGCTGAGGAGTCTGGAGATGCGGTCTCACCTCCATCCGCTGCCTTCCCTTTCTGGTCTTCACACGAGGGTTGAGGGCACTGCTCGGTGGGCTTGCTGAAGCAAGCTCTGGGAATTTATTGTTGGTTTGGGCTGGGTTTTGGTTTTGGTATGGAGAAAACACTGTGATTAGCAGTGGCCACAGCCCAGCACAAGTGTCTCTAGACTGTCAGCGTGCCCTCTAAGACAATAGCAGCGCCACCCTTCATGTCAACTCGTCCATCAGGCCGCAGGGAAATGTCCAGTTCCCCTCCTCGGCGGGAACACTGAAAGGCTTAAAGAGAACACAGAGTGGGCCAATTGAGAGCATTTCCCTGTGATTAACCAACTATGCAGGGAAGAAGTGATTGTTACAGACCCAGGACTCCTCCCAGGCCAGTTTCCAGAATAAGTCCCTTCACGTCCATACCCTGCCCTCCATTCTCCTGCAGACCAGGGGTCCACACACAGCTGATGTGCACACACTGCCCAGCCCTTTCCTTCCTGGTCTCTTCTGCTACTTCCTGCATTGCTCCAGCTGTGTCCTGCCTAAAGCATCCTCTAGGAATACTCAAGAGATGGAGGTAGGGAAGGGTGGTCTAAGACGGTGTAGAGAGGGGTCCTGGCTGTCCTGAGAACGTCCCACCTCCCTTCCAGCTCAGAAAAGTCAGATGAAGTTTGTTTCCTTGTAGAAAGGTAAAGCAACTGTGAGGCCAGGGGCCCAAGAGACTCCATGCTTAGCAAATCATTAGACTCGCCCAGAACAGAGAATAAACTCCTGTTCTCCACATCACCGTCAGAGACTGAGTCCTCCCTTCAGGAAGAGCTCAGCCTTGCAGGCCAGAACCCTGTGCTGATGATGGGCTAACTTAACTTCCTTCAGCTGAGTTCCTTCTCTGTGAATGTGAGTTTTCGAGTCATTCCTGGGGATCTGGGCCTTCAGGAGGCAGGCAGGCGCACGCACCTGGCCATCCTGAATTCCACAGCAGGACTCCATCTCAAAAAGTCAAGAGCTGGAGCTATGACTCCATGGCATACCATTTGGCGAGCACTTAAAGGACCCAAGTTTAACACCCGAGCACCCAAAGAGGAGAGGAAGGGATGGGGAGAGCTAACCTACCTCGCATCTCTTTCTTCCCCAGCTCCTCAGACCAGTAGGGGCCAAGAATAGTGTGGGCGGACCCTGGAAAGAAGTGACAAGTTATGACAGCGGGAGTGATGTTTCTCCAAACGTAGTAACAACAATTGCAACCACTCATCCAGTGTGACTAACCCTTAGGTCATCCAGCCCTCTGTCAAGGTGGCCACAGCAGAGTGTGGAGTGAGGAAAGGGACAGAGAAGTTTTATGAGTTAATTGCTTCCAAAGTACCTGTCAAATCTCTCCTACTGTCTCTGAAGTTGCACTCAACTGCAGGGTTATTCTCTTTTTTAAAGACAGTCGCATGTAGCCCAGGCTATCCTACAACTAGTTGAGGTTAGGATTGGACTTTCTTTCCTCCTGCTCCCAAGTGCTACCTTGCCATCCACACCACCATTTTTCCCATGTGATTTACCCTAGAACCTTATCAGAGATTACACATGAAAATGAAGAGATGAAATATAAATAAGTCCTACAGGGTTCTGTGGCTCACACGTGCAATCTCAGTGTTTGGAGGTAGACACAGAAGAGCCATGAGTTTCAGGTCATCCGCAGCTAGCTAGAGAGGCCAAGCTAGGTTCAGTTACCCTTTCTCAGGAAGGAAAGAAAAAGTCAGTAGTAACAAAATCTTGAGTGAGAAAAGTGTAGTGTGGGAAAATTCTCCTCTAGAAAAGTTCATTAAGAATTATGAGATGTACTTAAGAGTAAACAGCTGTTGGGTGTTGGTGGTACAAGTCTTTAATCCCAGCACTCAGGAGGCAGAGGCAGGCGGATCTCTGTGAGTTCAAGGCCAACCTGGTCTACAGAGCAATTCCAGGACAGCCTCCAAAACAATACAGAGAAACCCTGTCTGGAAGAGACAGAGAGAGAGAGAGAGAGAGAGAGAGAGAGAGAGAGAGAGAGAGAGAGAGAGAGAGAGAGAGAGAGAGAGAGAGAGAGAGAGAGAGAGAAACAGTCATACTAGTTTCTTTCTCCCAAGACCCCCCTCCACCCCAGCAGCTCATCCCTCCTGGTCCAAAGACCTTCACATTTTAGAAAACATTAAACACACAACATATGCTGGGTGTCCATTCCAGTGTGGGGAAGCAGCTGTGTGTATGCACAATGCCCAGGATCCTCTGCCCTACAGAGACTCACTGGACCATGTGGTCTCTATGGCCATGTTCTTGAGTCTTCAGCCTGCTTATGTGCCGAGCTTTGAGTTGGACTGTTTCATTCCTCACCAAGGACTAAGTGAAGGTTCCAGAGCCATCCTAGCTCTTTGTGTCTGCAATTTCTGCCCAGCCCCTTTCAGTCCTGAACCTGCTTCCCCCAGCAATGCCTCCCGTCAGTCACCCCCACCCTTGGCTTCATTGACAGCTGTCCTCAAGGAGAATGGAAGACACACAGTTCAGGCCGTCTGGTTCAGGCTGGCACAAGTTCTGCAAATGTTGGCTCCGCGATCTAGGTCCACCCTAGCCCTCCCCTTGGCTCAGCGAAGCCAAATGAATAGGGAATAATTTAGTAACCTAGGATTACGCTTGGTCTGGGCTATGCTCGCTCTGAACAATGTACCCAACAAGCTGTCAACAGATTAGGATCCTCCCACCTCATCAGAGCTGCAGGTATACCTGTTATAGACAATGAGAATATGTTCAATAAACTACTCCCCTTAGCACCCCCGTTTCTACCCAAATACATTGCAGAACACAATCTGAGAACTGTGCCGTGGGCAACAGGTCAATGCATCCTAGACTGTTTTGAGCACATGGGCAATCCGGCAAACTGTCTTCAAAGTGAACTTTTAGGAAGAATCTCCTGCTTACCTAGTCTTATGCCATGCATAGTTGGGTGTGTATGTGATTAAAATCAGATACATTATTGCAAGCAGTATGCCCAGAGAGGAAGGGTTTTCATAACCCTTATTTGTCAGTTACAACAGAGAATCTTCTAAATTACATTCTTAGTAAGCAAACACCTCTTTCTCTTGAACTCCATAAAAGAAGATGCCAGGGACCAGAAGGATAGCTCAGCAGCTCAGAGCATTTGGTGATCTTATGGAGGGCTGAGTTCAGTTCCCAGCACCCATACTGAACAGTTCACAACCATGTGACACTCTCAGGGTTACCACAGCCTCTGCTGGCCTCTGGAGATACTACACATCCAAGTGCAGACAGACAGACAGACACACACACACACACACACACTCCGAACAATAGTTGGAGCCCTCAGCAGGCACTCACATACCTCACTATCAGTCTTGACGGTGTGTCCTTTCTGATCTATACTCTTGCTTTGAATGAAGCTTCCTCACTGCTTTGTAATCTTTCTGGGCTTTTATTTCAACTCTTGAATAAGACTACAAGAACCTGGTTATGCCCAGACAGACTCTGAGTACATGTAACATCAAAGGAAGAGTACCTGTTACCGGGTCTTCAGCCACACCAACCCACGGTGCAAAGTACCGGGAGTAGAAGTCATATTGGGGTGTCTGCCCCTCAGGCTCTCCTCTGAGAGTAAGAATGAGTCCTTTCACCTTCCCTGTCTTTTCGATTTGAGGCAGAGGCTCTGTGTTCACCTTCAGGGTCTCTAGAAAGGACCTGAGCACAAACAGAACGGATCAGCAATAAGCATTTCACAGACCACCCCCTGCACAGCCCAGGGAAGAGGCTGGGCTGTGCCCAGAGGGCTCAGCAGAGGGAAGAGAGAGCCTGCCTTTGGCATCTGCCTATGGGAAAGAAAGTGATTGGTCCAGGCATGATGGCAGATGCCAGCACTCAGGAGGCAGAGGCAGGTGGATCTCTGTGAATTTGAGGCCAGACTGGTCTATAGACTGAGTTCCAGAACAGTCAGAGCTACACAGGAAGAAAGGAAAGGGAAGAGGAAGCGGAAGAAAAGGAAAGGAAAGGAAAGGAAAAAGAAAAAATAAATCACGCTTTGGTGAAAGCACAGCCTGATGCAAGCAGAGCTGGAAATCTGCATGTTGGCAAGTAAATGGCTAAGCATGGCATTTACCTGTTGTAAGAGTCGCTGAGTCGGACCATGAGGTTTTTGGTATCTGGAGAGTACCGGATATCCTGGACCAGGGTATCACCTATGGCTGCCTGTGAGAACACACCAAAACTCCTCAGAGAACTAACTCTTATTCAGCTGTTAGATGTTTGTCTAGATGCCAGAAGCCCTGGGCCAACCCCCAGCACCACATGAACTGAGCATGTTCCTATAAACCCAGGATTCAGAGGCAGGAAGGTCAGGAGTTCAGGGTCGGCCTCGGCTGGCAGCAAATGTGAAGTCAGGCTGGGACCCTGAGAGTGCCTCAAAAGCAATAAAACAAAACAGCTGGGCACACTCCTTTGACACCAGCATTTGGGAGGCGGAGGTAGGAAGCCCCAGGAATTCCAGGAGTCAGGGCTGGCCTGGGGCTAGACCTTGCTTTATCCTGCTCTGCTCAGCAAGCACACTGCCTTCATCAGATGGGAAAGTCACCCTTTTTGGTCCAAAGAGGCTGAGGATGCCTGTTACCTTCCTCACCACCTCCTTCAGGGCTTCTCTGTCTGCCCCAAACACTCCATCTTATCCTGTCCCTCTATGGAGGTTGCATTGCTCATGGTTAAACTAAATGAGTCGGCTGTGATTGTTATGACCCGTAATCCTCGTATTTGAGAGGCAAGAGAATTGCAAGTCGAGGCTAGCCTGAGCTACACAGTGAGGAAAGAAATGTTACAACTCAATGAATGTTAGACACAATGCTAACATTCTGGCCTGAAACCATGTAGGCTTCCACAGCAGTGCCTACACAGACAGGATGAAGAGGCTATTTCATGTCACACCAGACCTTTCAAATAGAAACACAAACACACACGACCACATCACAGGCCTCTAACTGGATTCTTTCCACCAACCTTTATCAAGTCTTTCACTTCACGGAAGTCCTGGAAGAGGGAAAGACACACAGTCAGTGCTGGACAGGAGAGCCGCCGGCTAAACGCAGCTGGTGGATGTGATTGTGTGTGTTACAGTTAGACGCACATACAGTAAGAGCGAGCTGACCTGGGGGAAGGCTGGGTAGAGAGGAAAGTCCAGGACAATCCCGTCCTCTGCTCTTCTGGCCCTTAGTTCCCCACTCATGGTGGCAAAGGTTAGAGTGCTGTTCGTGTTCTCTGCACAGAGGAGGAATTAAGAATCAGAAAAGCAAAAGTGATTATGCTTTCTGGGTGTTGGTTGATGTTTCTGTGGTGGTGGCGGTAGTAGGGTATCTGTGTGTGAGTCTGTGGAATGAACCCAGATGGTCAAACATACAAGTATCTCCCCCAAAACTCTCTTCCCCAGCCGGGCAGTGGTGGTGCACCCCTTTAATCCCAGCACTGGGGGGGAGGGGCAGAGGCAGGTGGATCTCTGTGAGTTGGAGACCAGCCTGGAGACCAGTCTGGTTTATAAGAGATAGTTCCAGAGTTCCAAGACAGGCTCCAAAGCCACAGAGAAATCCTGTCTTGAAAAACCAAAAAAACCAACACCAAAAACAAAACAAAAAACAAAAGCCTCTCTTCCCCATCCTCATTGGTCTTTTATTTTCTAGATGGTGTCTCACTAGGCTGTTTGGGCTGGCCTTGAGTCCCCTTTGTGGCCCAGGTAATCTGTGAAATTTTAATCCTCTCTTCTCAGTCTCCTGAACAACTGGGATTTCAGGCCTATTTCACCAACCTAAATTTGTCTTCCTCTACCCACACAAACAAAATAATTTTACCATAATGATCAGAATTTTATGATTTGGAAGTAAAATGTCCCCGACCATTGGTCCTCAGCTGGTGGTACTGATCTGGGGAGAGACACAGTTTGAGAACTGATCCACAGGTCAAAGGCCTCAGAAGTGGGTTTTCAAGAGGGACACCTGGACAGACTGTGGGAGTAAGGAGTTGATTAAATGCATTAGTATTAAATGCATTGTTATTAAATACTGTGGGCAGACAAGTAAAAAGATGCCAGAGGCCCTGAGTAGAGCTAAGGCTCCAGACCAGGAGGGAGACAGTGTGGTGGGTTCTGAAGAGAGGAAATCGGTGCCCACGGGGCAGAAGTGGGCGTGGTCTCAGATCTTTCTGGGCGTGGCTTCATAGCACAAGTCTGTAGCTAGGTCTCTGAGTCCCAGGAAGGAGGCAGGGAAGGGGGTGTGGAACAGGATGTGTGGCCACCAAGACCCGCTTCGATATACAATCACCGCCATACATGAGGGTTCCTGACACCAGGAAGTCTGTGACTTAGGGACTCAGTGTCTCACTCAGGTGCCTGCCAGTGTCAGTGAGGGGAAAGGATTTCCTCAGGGTCTTGTGGCCTGATCAGTGACTAGATTCTAACGCTACATCCTCACAAAGGCCACAGGCTTTCCAGGGCTGTAACTTGACCAGCATCTGGTCCAACGTTATTGCTTCCTCTATGATCTCAAGAGTTACCACTGCAAGCTCTTAACGCTGTGGACCAAGCCACCACGGCCACCACGATGGCCCGCATCCCCGGAAGCGTGAGCCAAACCAAACCTCTCCTCCCTTAAGTTGTTTCTGTTGTGTATTTGTCACAGTGCCAGGGAAGTAATGAGTATCCTGGATGCCATGGTGGAGAGGGCTTGGCTAATTGCCAACTTTATCTTCTGCCAGGCACAGGCTCCCTCAGGAACCTAAGGATGCAGAGTCTGTAGGAGACACAGCAGGAGATTTGCTACCACCGCAGCCTCTGAGGCTGCAGCTCCTCTGACTCAAGCTCAGTGCACAGGTTTCATCTTTTCCAGCTCAAGGTCCCTGTCCAGTGTCCACCTTCTTAAACTGTGAGTCACAACCTCATAGGGAACTGCTGTGGATGTTGTGAAGAATGCGTTGGTAGCACAGGGCTTCTGAACACACAACAGCCATAAACTAACTTGAAATCGTCTGTGTAGCGAATAGAAAGCATTTCTGGTGTGTGGTGTGACTTCGCTGTGGCCTTGCGACACGCACACTTTGCACTATGGCTGCCTTCTCTCCCCACCCCAGTGAAATACACAGGCTAAGATCTGAGCCTGCAAACAATACGTTTCTCTTACAGAAACATAGCTGTTTGCTTACAGGAAGCAAAGGTGTTTAACGGTTTTTTTATTGTCATTTGTCAGTTTATAAGTATCTAATCAGTATCTCTTTGGATTTGTGTTATTGCAATGTTTGATTTTACTTTTTAGTTTTAGAAGGCAAAAGATACTAACGAGTAGGAGTGTTTTGCTTCATGTATGTCTGTATGCACCATGTGTGTATGTTGCCCTCAGAGGTCATAGATCCCCTGGAAGTAGAGCTAGAGAGGGTTTATAAGCCAGCATGTGGGCGCTAGAAGTGGATCCCAGGTCCTCTGAAAGAGTAGCCAGTACTCTTAACCACTGAGCAATTTCTCCAATTCCTAAAATGTTTGAGTTTCAGCTATATGACCTGCAGCTAAGACTAACATACCCCAGCCCCACACGGTAGAAGGAGATAACAGACTCGTGAAAACTGTCCTTCGATCACCACATTACACTGTGGCATTTGTGCATACACAAAAATTAATTGACTAATTACGATATAATCAAAAATTGTTTGGGGGGACCCCCTGAATGTGAGTGTCAGTGAGGAGGCCTAGGTTATCTATTGAGCCTTGGGCAGCAGATCAGTACCCATCCCAAGTATACACACAGACTTTGGACTCCCATCCAACAATGTGAGGTGCACTCTCACCCTGAACTCTTGGGGGAAGGGTCTAGGCCCTGCCCTATATGAAATGACAGACTATGGACACCCCCATGGAGGGCCTCACCCTCCCTGGGGGAATGAGGGGATAATGGGGGGGGGTTGGGGGAGGGCACGGGAGGAGGGGAGGGAAAGGGAGAGGGACCTGGAACTGACTTGTGAAGCAACCTTGTTTCTTATCTAAATTTAAACTGAAAAATAAAAATAAATAAATAAATAAATAAATAAATAATTTGTTTGGGGGATCTAAGACCCTTCTCTGGCCTCTGCAATCATGGCCTACATATGATGCACAGGAATATGAGCAGGCAAAAACACCTACGTACATAAAAAATAAAGGGAAAAATTGATTTGGACCAGCACATCATTCTTCAGTGATAGGGTCCTAGGAAGGAAGGTCCAGGGGATCAGAGATTAAGAAGATAGAACAGGGGAGCTCAGGAGATCTCAAGAAGCTGTCCTATGCCAAGCAAGCTTATTTAAGAAGTACAGAACCTTGCAGACTAGTTCCAGGGGGAAATGGGACACAGTCAGCAAAGGCTATCAAACAACGGAATGAAGACAGCAGGGAGCTAACTAACCAGGAGATGCTGTACAAGGTAAACACGGTATCCCCAGAGCATCCCAGAGCAGACACACAGTGATCCTGGGACTGACAACTGTAGCCTTGTAGGGTGGAAGGGTTGGGTTCTTAGGATCTGAAGCCACAGCTCCCCCAAGGCCCTGGCCCCAGGCTGTTTCCAGCTCTGCCAAGTATATTCCTGGTTTTAGAGAAGAAGCTATGTTCTTTACATCAGAGGCTCCACATATCAGAGCCTCAGGGAAAGCCTTGGGTCAGTCCAGGCCTCAACAATCACAACAACAAAGTAATTGTTTTTAATTGCTGTTTGAGGAGCTGGGTGTGGTGATTCAGCCATTAGTACCAGTCTGGGAGCAAAGGTGGGAAGGCTACAAGTTCAGACCCAGCCAGGCCTAAGGAGCAAGTTTCAAGTCAAACAGGGCAAGGAATGTGGCTCAGTTGGTAGAGCGCTTGCCTAACATGCACCAAGCTGGGGGTTCCATCACCAGCAATTGTAAATGGTTTGTGGCAGTGAAAGCCTGTAATACCAAGACTTGGGAGTGAAGGCAGAAAGAGCAGCCATTCAAGGCAATTTGAGGTGTGTGAGGACCCAATCTCAAAATAAATACATAAACGTATGACTTTAGGATCAGTGGGGCACTGGCTTGCATTTGTTTTCTACATCCATTCTGGTCATGCAGCTCCCTCAACCATATGCAAATAAATTATGTTTTAAAAAGAAATTCACATTGCTAAGTCATGGTGGTTTGTACTATAATTCTAGTTCTTGCGAGGTGGAAAGAGTAGAAGCCACCAGAATTTCAAGGCCACCATCATCAACCCAGGAAGTTCAATGCCACCCAGAGCTAAATGAGACCCTATCACAAAACAAACAACCATAAATAAACAAGCAAAGTCCACATTACTCATTTTGTGAAACAGCACAGCCGCAGAAGCCAGGGTGGCGTGGCCACATAGCGGGAACTCACTCTCAGGAGTAAACCACCTTAGTCCAAAGTGGGAACCTTCAGAGGAGCAAAGATAAACGGAAAGCAAGATCAGACCCCCAGTTAGGTTATAGATGCCTCAGCATCCTCTTCCCATCATCATTAGCAAGGCTAACAGGTAAACTTTCTCAAAGGGGTGAGCACGGGGTAGACAGACAGACATTCTGTTCCCTCCTGGTAAAGGCCCCGATGACTTGAGTTTGGTCCCCAGGACTCACGTGGTTGAACCAAAGAATTAACTCCTATAAGCTATCCCCCAAACTCATACAAATGCTATGGCACGCACACACGCACACACACACACACACACACACACACGTGAAACAAAACATTTAAATGGTGTACTTACTTTGTGTGAAGTTGTCAGTTGGTTGCAGTTTTCGGATGAAAGCGGTTTCAGAGAGGTTCATTTCCCTTGCAATGTGTTGATGAGAATCTTCATCCAATGTCTTAAATAGGAAAAAAAAATGGTTATTGAGAGCCCAAAAGCACAGATCTGACTTAACACAGCACCTTATTGGCATCAAAAGTCATGCTTGGCATAGTGATGCATATCTTTAATCCCAGCACTCTGGAGACAGAGGCAGGTGGATCTCTGTGAGTCTGAAGGCAGCCTGTTCTACAGAGTGAGTTCCAGGACAGCCAGGGCTACACAGAGAAATCCTGTCTTGAAAAAAAAATTGATAGATCCTTTAGCTCCAGTGTTTATTGATATTAGTGTTCTGGAAATAAAGTTATGAAACAACTCAAATTATTATCAGGTGAAAACTCAGCCATTACATGTACATATATTTATATCTATAAATATGTATGTATATACATATATATGAGTGACATGGAGACATGGGACAAATATACTTAGATTCTTGACAGGCAATTACAGTCAATTCCACAATTGTTTGACAGGAAGTCGTGCTTGCCAGTTTAAGCCTATAGAAGGTTCCAATTTTGGAAGCTGGAATCTGGTTGCTAATTATTCTCTCACTAATCTTTCCAAGCTCTTGCATTACTAAAGCCTAGTAAAGCCTTCACCCTCTGCAGCTGGTGGAAGGAACGTGCTGGCTGCCGGGTTACGGGATGGGTGCACAGCTGAGATGAGGGGAGGCTCACCTCTCTCATCTCTGCTGCCCCGGACAATCAACTCCTTTATGCTAACCGCTCCAGGTAAAAGGGTAAGATACATTTTATTTTATTTTTTGAGACAGTTCTTACTAATAGTCCCAGCTGAGCCTGCTATGTAGCCCAGGCTGGCTGCAAACTCATGATCCTCCTGCTACAGCCACTTCCTCTTTTTTATTTGGCTCCAATTACTGTGTGTGTGTGTGTGTGTGAGTGTGTAAGAGTGTGTGTTGGTGTGTGTAGAGGTCAGATACTTGCAGATACTCTCTTCTCGTGTGTGTGTGTGTGTGTGTGTGTGTGTGTGTGTGTGTGTGTATAAGAGTGTGTGTTGGTGTTACAGAGCACTCTCACAGGTCCCGCAGTGCTTGTGTGGAGCCGAAGGACACTTTTTTTTTTTTTTTAGTTTTTCGAGACAAGGTTTCTCTGTGGCTTTGGAGGCTGTCCTGGAACTCACTTTGTAGACCAGGCTGGCCTCGAACTCACAGAGATCCGCTGAAGGACACTTTCTAAAGTCAGCTCTCTCAGGGACCCAAGTTCAATTCCCAGCTCCCACATGGCAGCTCACAACTCTGTAACTCCAAGATCTGACACCCTCACACAAATATATATGCAGGCAAAACACCAGTGCACATAAAATAAAAATAAATTAATTAAAAAACAAAGAAGAAACCGTTGTCTCCTTTCACCATGAGTCTTGGGGAATGAACTCAGGTCCTTAGGCTTAGCAGCAAGCACTTTTACCTGCTGAGTCATCTTGCAAGGCACTGAAGAGAATGTCTACATTTCTGAGGTATAGATAAGGCTGCAGCCAGAAATGATAATGAACCCTGAAAGTCCAGCACTCAGGAGATTGAGACAGGTAGAGTCTGAGGGTAACCTGGGATACATAGGGAGTTCCAAGCCAGTAAGAGTAGCATAGTGGGCAGTGGTGGCACACACCTTTAATCTCAGCACTCGGGAGGCAGAGGCAGGCAGAACTCTATGAGTTCGAGACCAGCCTGGTTTACAAGAGCTAGTTCCAGTACAGCCTCCCAAACCACAGAGAAACCCTGTCTTAAGCCCTGTCCCTGTAAAAAAGAGTAGCATAGTGGACCCTGCCTCACCTGGCCCTGCTGAAAAGCCCCAAAATGTCCACATAGAAATGCCAAATGACATATCAGTCATTCCTACCCACAGATCTCCTGTGACTTTATGCTTACTTTTTGGTGCTAATTAAACAAAAACCTAATTCTGAAAGGGAACTCCAGTTATTCTTTTACAAAATAATTGCTTGATTATTTATTACTTTTTATTTTTGTAAGATTGTTCTCTATATAGCCCAGGCTGACCTCAGACTCATGATCCTCCTGCCATATCCTTTGGAACATCAGAGTTACTGGCCTGGGCCCCCACTCCCTGCTGCTGCCTCTTCAGTCGGCTCCAGGTACTCTGCATGGGAATCTCTGAGGTCCTGACTGAGTCTGGGTGTAGCCATTCCTGTCATAACCTGAAAACACGACCATCACCGATATGACAGAGAACACAAGCCAAAGTAGCAAACCCTCAGGATGGTCTCACGTCCTTTCCAGAAGTCATGGGCTCCACACACATCTAGAATTTCAGGCATGGCCCTTGAGAACCGAGTACTTACATTTTCCAGGAGGCAGACAGCAGCAGGATTGCCCCTGAAAGCTGTGGCCGTGAAGGCATCTGCTATGAAAATCGGGAGTTTCATTTTCCTCACCAGCTCTGTCTGCAAGGTCTCAGCCTAGCTGGCAGCCTGCTTCCCTTCCTGTTGTTTAAAAAAAAAAGTTAATGTTTTACTTTATATACAGGCACAGTTAATGGTTCCCAGATAAAGGCAAACAATTATCCCAGCATACCTATGCCTAAAGATTCCCCTACTTTTTAAAGCCTTTGCATTTAATTTGTTTTAAAATACTAGCTAAATTAAGCAGAGTGGTGGTGGCTCTTGCCTTTAATCCCAGCACTCAGGAGACAGAGCAGGTGGATCTTTGTGAGTTTAAGGCCAACCTGGTCTGCATAGTGAGTTCTAGGACAGCCAGGGCTACAGAGAAACCCTGTCTCATACTAGCTAAATGAAATATTTTTCTCGCCACACACTTAACTCTGCAACAAATCACCTTCCTTTCTAGAGTAGGCAAGACTAGCTGTGGCAGTATATTTAGTGAAGTTCATGAGATGTCTGAGAGGCACAGTTGTGGCTTGCAGTCTTCCCATGAGGACAGACTCTCCTCTCAAGGCCAAGCATGGCAGCGCTCACCTGTGATTATTCGTGTAAGGCAGGAGGATGGAGAACAAAGTCAGCAGGCAGATCTCTGAGTTCGAGACCAGCATCATCTACAGAGGACAGCCGGGGCTACACAAAGAAGGCATGTTTGGAAAGCAAACAAACTATATCTGTCTATATCTGCATAAACCCAGGGACTCACTCATGCTTAACACAAGGTTTACAACCCCCCAAGTTCTCAATTGTTTTGTCAGGGAGAGGTTTCCTCACCATGCTGCACACACTGGCCTAAGACCCCTGGGCTCAAGTAAGTCCTTTGCCTCAGAGTATGGATATACCTCATACCCAGCTCTGGCTTGGTATGTGCTTTTTATTTAATTTATTACTGAAGAATAGACTTCTACCCTTAAGGGTTTTTTTAAGTTCCTATATTTCTTCCCAAGCCACCACCAACAAAAAAAGTATTTTTAAAGAGTGGGTCTCAAAGGTTCTAATAACTGGTGTCATTCACTTATTCAACATGATGTCCCTAGCTCTCCACCCACAACATACCCAACATTGCATTCTCTTCCTCAAAGAACTTGGGTTTTGTTTTGACTTTAGGGTTGTGCAAGGCCTCTGCCAGTTTAGAACAATTTCATTCTCTCTGACAGATGTTCAGTCTTAAAGATTATCCTTCTTAAAGATTGTCCTACAGCTAGATGGTGACAAGTCTCAGTTAGAGAAAGGAGGCCAGAGAGATTGTGGGAAGAATTTTCCTCAGCTCTGATTAAAGGGAACAGATCTAAGACAATAGACTACCTCCCCACCCCCTACCCTGGGGCTGAACACGTTGATGCTAGAAATGCAACAGCCTGGTCTATGGACCACGACAAGCAAGGAGACAAAATGCTAAGGGACTAGACAAGGGGGAAAGAGTGTGCTTTCTGATAGTGTAGTTATCCCACTAGTTGGCCCTTAAGTGTTCCTACCTCTATATTTCCTGCCCAATACATAGTAAATGTCCCAAAGTTTCAAGTCATTGTTAGTACAGTAGCAGTCAAAATAATGACTCCCTTAAGTTGTCCACAGTATAGCTCCCAAGAACCCATATGTATGTTTTGTAACTAGAGGAGGGAATTAGGTTAAACTTTAACCAACTGATTATTCTGGATTATCAAATCCTAAGTAAGGAAAATATATATTTATATATACATGGTTTAAACCCAGGGCCTCATGCAGGCTGGGCAAGCACTCCACCACTAAGCTAAATACCCAGCAAACAGGTCTTTAAAATGTGTATATATGTGATGGCTATTTTTGGTTGTTAATTTGACTACATCTGGAATTAACTAATACCCAAGTGGCTGGGAACACCTGTGTGTTGTAGAATGTTATTTTAAGGTGTCTTACATTTGTTTATGCTGTGGAATATTTGTTTTAATGATGCAAAGATGTGCTGTACTCTTTTATGTTGCATTTGTTTAACTCTGTGTTATTTTGCCTGTCTAAAACACCTGATGGTCTGATAAAGCGCTGGCCAGCCAATAGAGAGGCAGGAGAAAGGATAGACGGGGCTGGCAGGCAGAGAGAAGAAATCTGGGAAGAGGAAGGAGCAAGATAGAGCAAGGGATGGAGAATGCCAGGAGCTAGGTACCCAGCCAGAGATGGAGAGTGAAAGATATACAGAAGTAAGAAAAGGAAAAGGCAAAAGATAGAGGGATAATTTAAATTTAGAAAAGCTAGTTAGAAACAAGCCAAGCTAAGACTAGACTTTTTTTTTTAGATGTATTTTATTTTTATCATCTATAGAGTTCTGTCTGCAAGTTTGTCTACAAGCCGGAAGAGGACACCAGATCTCATTATGGATGGTTGTGAGCCACCATGTACTTGCTGGGAATCAGGACCTCTGAAAGAGCAGTCAGTGCTCTTAACCACTGAGCCATCTCTCCAGCCCCAAGACCAGGCATTTATAAGAAATAATAAGCCTCCATGTTGTGACTTGGCATTTCCCACCCACCCCCCCAAAAAAAGAGTAAAGAGGGAAAAAAACACAAAAACAAAACAAAACAAAAAACAATGACAGCATTTTGGTGAACCAATGTGAGGCTCAGATTTCTATAGGGCCTGAGAAGCTTAAAAAAAAACAAAAACTAGGGCTGCAGGCAGCAGATTGTATACATAATAAATAAATTAAATATTTAAAAAACAAAACAAAAATGAAAACACTCCCTTAAGAAACCCTGCTGTACAGCAGAGCAGTTAAACAGCATTTTTCACACTAAATAGAAACAAAAAACTAAGTAAAAATGCCTGCCACAGTTCAGGCACTAGATTCCATAGCTGGGGGGTTGAACGCATTTGTTGGTCAAATGCACCTCCAACAGCCTCTCATCATAGCCTTTGCTAGGACTAATGCCAACAAAAGGTTTAGTATAGCTTGCACTTTTGGGGATACCTTCCCAGGTCTTTAATAGGGGACCTGCAGAATGTAACCGAAGTATAAGAGGAGAAAGGAGTTTCCGGGCCGGAAACTTCCTCGTATTTGGCTATGGAAAGTTTTCTAAACCCTGCCCCTAAGACTCCTTGCATGAGCATAGTAACAACGGGTTAGAGATGTGCTTAGATAAAAGGGCATGCTTTCATGCTAACAGACCTGCTGGAAGAAGTCCAAAAGGCTGTCTGTTCAGAGGTTCCTTGACATCTCCTCTCTGTGCATCAGCCCTTCCTCTCCGGTCCTGGATACCACCCCTTCTTTTTTTTTTTTTTTTTTTTTTTTATTGAACATTTTACTGTGTTAATGCTCATTATTTATACATCGATATCAGGTATACAGCATATTCTGTTTTATGTCAGAAAAATCCACAGCCCAAGAACAACATAAACAAGTCTAGTTTCTCCCACCATCTTCTGTCTCCTCTATTTCCTGGATTCACAGACTTTCCTCTGGGCCTAGCCACTATCCCCTGTTGCCACTGGCTTGGTCTCCACTAAGCACTGACAAGCCAGCCTTGCAAAGTGCTCACCCTTCCCATTCCTCTGGTCTCCTAAGCTAGCTATTCTCTCTCCCCCAAAGGTTAAGCACACCACCCCTTCTGAAATGGCTTTTTATCACCTGCTACCAGATGTGGGTGCTGGGAACCGAACCTGATCCACTGCAAGAGTAGCAGATACTTTTAACCCCTGAGCTATCTCTCTTAGCGCTAGGTTTCTCTTCTTCATAACTTGGTTTTTAATCCTCAATTTGGCATGAATATACTCTTTTGTTTTTTTCAAGACAGGGTTTCTCTGTAACTTTGGAGCCTGTCCTGGAACTTGCTCTGTAGACCGGTCTGACCTGAAACTCATAGTGAACCCCCTGCCTCTGCCTCCCGAGTGCTGGGACTTAAAGGGATGTGCCAGCACTGCCAGGCGAATATGCACTCCTTTAATAAACAGTAAGAAAGTACAGAAAAGACTAATGCTCCTTTGACACCTGTCTTATTTGCCCTGAATCAAGTGACGCAACACTGTATTCCCTGAAATCGCCCAGGCAGTGGTGGCACACACCTTTAATCATGGCATTAAGGAGGCAGAGGCAGGGGCATCTCTTGATCTCAGGAGACCAGCCTGATCTACAGAGCAAGTTCCAGGACAGCCAAGGAAGGCTACACGCTGTCACACTTAGTAATTCATGTTTGAATGAAGAAAAGAAATAAAAAGGAAAGGAAACATGAGTGCTCCTTGGTATGCTGGAGGAGGAGGTTTATTGTAGATACATGAAAGAGCATAGGTAGAGGCAGGGACAGGAACATCTGGGAGAGTACGGAGGGAACATGTCCACACTGAGCTATACCGTGTGGGGAGGCCCAGAGGAACAAACAGAGGAGGCAACCAAAAAGGTTGGATTACACAGGGATAAGCAGCCCAGCCCCCTGGGCTGGAGAGTCCAGGATAGGGGTGGAATATACCAGCCAGGAGGGCTCTGTGAGATGTGGGGCTGAGGAGGCAGAAGAACCGGGCGGCCAGGTCTGCTTTGACATGTTAAATAGATACCTCAGTCATCTGTCAGGGGTTTGAAACCTAATAGCAATACCAGCATGTAAGAGGCAGAGGAGGCTAGCCATATGTTCAAGGCCAACCCGATATACATAATAAGTTCCAGGGTAGCCTGAACTACAGAGTGATACCCTCTCTCAAAAGCAAATAAAATTGAGAAAGAGGGTAGGAAGGGAGGGGTCGGGGAAGAGGAGTAGGAAGAAGAGGAGACCACTGCCATTCTGGAACAATCTGACAGTCTCTGAAAGGAAAGGGTATGTTCATAATGAATTACAGCTTGGCTTGGTTTCTCTACTATTTTCCTGGCAGAGCCCCAATAGCAAAGCTTTTTCTATTAACCTGATTTGGTTCACATAGTAAAAACAGCTTTTTCTCCAGAACTGTTTATCAAAATCAGCCAACCAACTGTTTAATAACATTATGTCTGCCTGAGTGGTAGGGAAGTTACTGAGGCAAACAACTGACTTTAAGTAAATGTTTATAAGAAACAGCGGGAACATGAGATGTTGAGAAGAGTTTATTTT